GGCGCGGCCTCCTTCTCCTGGCTGCGGCACCGCAGCTCCGCCGCAGTCTCGGCCTCGCGCGCCGCCGCCTTGAGCCGCCGCACCTCCGTGCAGAGCCGCCCAGTCTCCTGCCGCTCCGCCTGCAGCGCTGCGTCGAGCTTCGCGTACGCCGCGGCGGAGCGCCGCCGCTCGTCGGCGAGCGCGGCGTCGACGGCGGCCTGCTGGCGGCGCGCCGCCAGCTCGAGCTCGACACGCCGCTCGTCGGCGAGCGCCTCGCTCAGCTGCCGCCGCCGCCGCTCATAGTTGAGGAGCAGCGACACCTGCCGGAGCTGCGACGTGCCGCGCCCACGCGGCGGAGGCGCGCCGCGCACCTCGGCGGCGATCAAGCCGAGGACGTCGCGGCAGCCCTCCAAGAGGTGGACGGCGCTGTCGGCGCCGAGGCGCGGGTGCAAACCCTCGGCAAACGCGCGCAGCTGCGCCGTCACGTCGAGCTCGGCATCGAGCGAGGACGCGCCGCCGCCGCCGCCGCCGCCGCCGCCGCCCGTGTCGGCCGCGTCCGAAAGGGTCTGGAGAGGAACGTGCGCCTGCCGCACGAGTTGGTCGAGTTCGCGGTCGGCCTCCGCCGGGTCCTTCCGGCGAGAAACGGCCGTCGAGCGCCGCTTAAGCGCGCGCTCCACGTCCGCCTTGTACGCGGTCATCCGGCGCTTGTACTTCACGAAGTTCGCCTTGGTCTCCGGCGTGGCCAGCGCCGGGAGCGCCCGCGTCGGCGCGAGCGACTCGTGCCCGGCCATCGCCTCGACCCACCTGGTAAAGATGAGACCCGCATCGCCGGCGCCGCCCCCGCCGCTGGCATATTTGCCGGCCAGGCCGACGAGGGCGTAGGCGTCGATGAGGAGCAGGCCGCCCACGGGCCTCGCCAGGGCCGCGGCGGGCCCTGGCGACCCCTCGAGGGACGCCAGGGTGGACAGGGCCTCTGCCCTAGCAGGTTCTGAAAAGAGAGCGGTCGCCTCGCCGATGCCGCGGAGCTTCTCCTTGGAGGTGTGGAGGTCCTCAGGGGTCGCGACCTGCGCATGGCTCGTCGGGAATGGTCACCAGCGTCGTGTGCGACCTCTCTCCGGAGGCGTGCGACCGAAGGGAGAGCGGTGAGGCGAGGCTGAAGTCACAGCTGAAGCAACTGGATTTCAGTTGCTGACAGTTGTGGGCGATCCCGCGCGAACTGACGGCAGGTAAGCCGGCAGGTGGGGGGCGGGGGTGTGCCGGGTGGATCCCCAAGCGGGCGAGCCGGGCCCATGCATAGTTCGCGCGCGGGGGGCGCGCGAGCATGGGAAAGACGCACCTCCATCGTGCTTGCTACCGGCGCTTTTTTGGCCGTTGGCACCATCGTTGATGACTTGATTGCGCGGGAGTCGAATCCCAAATTCTCTCCGCTCGAGAGGGAATTTAATTGTTTTGGGGGATTCCGACCGACCTAGATTGCGCGATTCGCGATGCGATTTTGCGCGCGTGTCGAGCGCTCTCTCGAGGCCCGCTCCGTCGCGCCGCCGTGTTATAACATAAAGGATACACTCACGCTTCTTCATTTGGAGCAGCACCATCCATCACTACGTATGTGTGCGGGCTAGGTAACCGCCTGTGATGCTCTATCTATAAGCGCTCTTGCAGCCGATGTGTCATGTGAGGTCCCACAGCACGCACGGCCTTCCGCTCGCCCGCCTGCGCCCGCCGTCGCTCTGTGGAAAGAAACGAGCTCCCCCTCGACGCATCAGCAGCGCCGCCGATCGCAGCCCCGCTCACTGGACGGCACATTCCCCCTTTTTGCCGCCCTTGGGCTTCTTGCCGCCCGCCTGATCGTGCTCCTGCATCGACGCCTCCCACGCACCGCGCAGGCACGCTTTGACCTCGCCCGTCACGTGGCCCTGCTGGACGAGTGAGGCGGAGGTGTCGAGCCCGATGTGCGCGTACGACGGCGTCTTCAGATTCCGCTTGTAGATGTACCAGAACGCGTCCCACACCTCCCCGTCGGCGCCCCACTCGTACTCGCACAGACCATGCGCCCGCGTCGCCTCGCGGTAGAGCGCCATGCTCGACGGCGCGCACCAGATGATGTTGATGTAGTCCACCGGCCCGCTCCCCTCCACCAGCCGCCGCGTCTGCTTCGGCGTCGAGTTGGCCCACAGCCAGTCGCGAACGTGGCCCACGATCTGCAGGTGGACGGGGCCGCACTGCGAGCCGCGCAGCACGACGACGGCCGTGCACTGCAGCAGGTGGTGGTCCGGCCCGAGCACCACGACCTTGATTGGGACCTTGTTCCTCTTGCGGATTTTGAAGGTTGGCGGGGGCGGTATCGTCTGCGCCCAGTCCGCCGTCAGGTAGACGAAAACGCGCCCGTCCTTCACGCCATCGTCCTGAACCGCCTGCGGGGCCCCGCCCTGCCAGTGGCGGTTCATGTCGCCGCTCGTCTGCTCCATGGCACTTGGCGGCGGCGGAATGCGGGCGCCCAAAGGTGCGCGCCACAGGTGCGGTGTTTTCTTGCGGGGGTACGGGTGTTCCAGAGCGCAGAGGCCAGAGGGGGGTTTTCTTCTTGAGGGGGTACGCCACACGGCACACCGCACACGCAAAACACAAAGTTGTTTGGTATTGCCACCCCCAGACTTTTCTTCATATCTGGGGCCTCCGGCGCCAGTGCGAAGTCTAGTCGCCCTAAACCACCAGCCGATGAGCGACTCCCGGAGCGAGTCCCCGAGCAAGCGCGTGCGGATCGAACCGGCACCACCGCCTCAACCGGCAGGCACCTTTATGGCGCGCGCCGCCACTCCCTCGGCCTGCCCCAACAAGCGTCGACAAAACACTGATACACAGCCACTCACAGAGACCAAACCTGCACTCAGAACAGCGCCAAAACGAGCGAACACGCGCCCACCAACCACACGCAACAGAGCATAGCACAAAATCCGACGCGCGCACTCGCGACGCAGCGCAGCGCAGAAGCTGACGCTGACGCTGACGCTGCGCTGCGCTCGCTCGCTTGCTGCACGGCACGCGCTCCGCACACGCACGCGCGTGCGCTCGCGCGCTACGCGTTCGCTCCGCGAAGGACACCCACGACCCGAACCCGAGACTCCCCACAAAACAAGAGCCCCTCGAACCGATAGAACCCAACTCATGCACAACCACCTCTACAGCTGCTCATATAGCCGCGAATTTCTGCCATAGGGAATGCAGGCTGCGATGGGCGAGTCCCTCCCGTACGTGGAAAAGGCGCTGATGATCGAGACGACCCACATGAACAACACCCACGTGGGGACCGTTGTGGAGTGCATGACGCTCGACATGGAGTACGAGGGGGCAAAATTCAACTTGCACCAAAACCGCAACACCTACTACCTCTCAAGCTCGGACGAAATGGTCGACTTCGACGCGATGCTGACCCGCTTTGCGTCGCCGGGCATCCCACTGCCCATCAGCGACGGCTTCGTCGCCACCTACCTCGACGGTGCGGAGAAGAAACCCCTCCCCTGCCTAAATAAAGAAATATCCCTCACCCCCCCCCCCCCTCTCCGTCCTACGACCCTCACAGGCGACCGGTGCAACATACCCCCCGGCGCCAAGATCACGATGAATGTGGTCGACCTCACCATGGCGCTAAAGGAGAAGACCAAGGAGGTCACCAAATCCAAGGACAAGAACAAGGTCCACTTCCGCGTCGAGATTATGCCGCAGTCGACCCTCCTCGCCGAGTCTGTGGACGAGGCCGAGATGACGCGCACCATGCGCAACCTCTTCCAGGCGCCGCGGGGGACGACCCTCGAGATCGATGTCCGGAAGGCGGTCCAAAAGGCCTTCGAGGGATTCTCGTTCAACATCACTGCGATGAGCTTCTATGTTGACATCACGGTCAAGCGGGACGACGAGTCGAAGGCCCTATAGCGGCCCACCCACAACTCTTCCCTACCGACCAAAGACAGAATCCCCCCCTTCCCCCCCCCCCCGAAGCAGCATCCCATCTGCATGATCAAGCCGCGCGCGGACTGCCAGACGACCTCCGGCGCGGCCATCCGCATCGAGCCCATTTCCGGCATCCGAGGCAAGCCCGCGATGGCGTGGCAGCACGACGAGAGCCACTCGGCGGCGAGCAACACGCTCCTGGGCTTCACACCCACGCCGCCCCCCCCGCCCGACGTCCCCATGCACGTCTGGGCGCGCCCTCTCGTGACCGCGATTCAGGAAGTCTGCTTCGCCTCGGGCCGCATCATGATGCCGTACTCGAAGGGCCTCGACGGCGCGGCCCCGGGCACCAAGCTGTTCGGGTGCCACACCAAGGCACAGACCCCCCTTCTTCCCCACCCTTCCTCCCGCCCTTGACTGCTCCACCAATCCACCAAACAGGTCCAATTCGACGCCCTGCACGACGTCCTCATCCACAACCCCAAGGGCCTCCCCGCGATCACCAAGGCGGACGGCCGCATCCACGTGGCGGACAAGGACGGCCGCTCCTGGCAGTTTGACCTCTTCTCCCGCCGCGAGTCCATCTTCTGCTCCAAGCACGAGTCGCAGCAGACCGCACAAAAGAAATCACAGAAAAAGAAAACCACTCCGGAATATAGGTGCCTCAAGCTGCCTCCATTCGCGAGGTTCAACGGCGTCGTCGCGCACCACATCACGCAGCTGCAGCAACAAGGGCTGGTGGGGGACTTGAGCCGAGTTTGGTGCGACTGCCGCTCGCTCAGCGGCCCCCCACCCGGCCCCTCGACCGCAAACAAGTCCGCGGAGGAGACGGCAGCCCTGCGCAACCGCCTCGTCGAAGCGCGAGAGAAGCGGAAGCGAGAGCGGGAGGAAGCGGAAAAGGCCTACGCGAAGCGCCGCGGCTCCACCTCCGCCGACAACGCATAGGGCCTAGTGATGCTGCTACACAAGCGCCACCCTCTTCCGAGCCACCTAATCCCGTTTAACATCCAGCGACCGTCCCCACTAGGCAACCCCTTCGTGATGAGAGGGGAGAGCGAGAGAGACCTCGTGGTCGAAGGATTCGGACAGGTGCTGGAAGGCCGACGCGCACCAGCGGCAGTAGCAGCAGACCACAATCCGCCACTCCTAGTCCATGCATCATCGGCACTAGCCACGCCGGACAAGAGATCATACTAGAAAAGCTGAAGAAAATGTATTGCGAGATAGCAAAGTAAGGCTCATGGTCTAGTGGTTCGGGGACCAACATTCTGTCTAAAGGCCCGGGTTCGGGTTTATCTCGGACATGTTTTTGGCCACACAAAGAAGTCATTTTGTTGACACAAAAGAGAAACGATTTATCACCTTGACAAACAGCGACGACCAGCAGCACCGACCTAGAGCAGCGTCCTGCCGAGTGTGTGTAGCACCGACGCAGACGCACCCCAGGCACTACACTACGACGGCTAGGCAGACCTCACCAGTCCGATAAGGATCAACTGGAAGGTTGAACCTCGAGCTTAGACAGAACGGGCGCGACAGACTCCAGGGGAGATCGCGCTCTACTCGGGGCACCAAGGAGGAAAACCGAAACCGTTTGGGTGCCCCACAACAACTCAAACGCCACAACCTAAGCGCCACACCTCCCCCCCACGTCCCCCCCCCCTTGGGGACGTAGCGCACGCCCTTGCTCGGAGAGAGTGGGGGGGGAGGGGGGGTGGGGGAATAGGAGGAGCCAACGAGCTCGGAGTAAGGTCCACAGTAGAGAGGCCGGCATTTAAGGCGTAACTTCACCCTCGCTCACCTCGAGTATATCTAGGCGCCCTGGTGCAGTCGGTCTTCGGATCAGCGGCCAGCTTCCCATCTAGGGCAGGGAACCCCCAGCGACGCTAGTGTGGCCTACGGTAGCCATAGCTTGTACGCGATCCCGGGGCAGGGGGGTGTGGACTCTGGAGCTCCAAGAGAGGATCGAGAGAGGAAGGGAGATTGGTGTGCCGGTTTTTTGAGCTAGCAATTTTTTTTTTGGTATTGCCACCTGTAACATCACATAAAGGTATTGCTAAAAATCTCTCTCACACGCAAACACAAATCTCTCTCCCACACGCACCGACCCTTCACACATTCACATAAACGCCGACCCTTCCACGAACCGAAAGGCTGTGCCCGGGGAAGGCATTTAGAGATGACGGTGTCCAGTCCGAGCCTGGCTGTTCTTCACCTTCCTACCTAACCTAGATGATAAACAGACAACAAGCGAACCGAAAAATATTCCTCCGCGCCCCCGGGTAGGTTTCTCGAGAGAAGTAGCCGCGGCCGCACCCTGACAAGCCGACACGGAGCAGCAGAGTAGGAGAGCCGTCGCAGGCTTCCGCCGCCGGCCGAGCGTGTCGCTCACGCCGGGTACACGAGCGGCGCCTTTGCCCAGGGCGGCTTCTCCCTCGCGAGCACCGCCTTCATGCCGGCGGCGCACTCGTCCGTCAGCCGCACGCGGGCGAGCTCTGCGGCGGTGTAGCGGAGGATCTCGTCGCTCCCGCGCGGCGCCGCCGCAACCTCCCGCACGAGCGCCTTGGCCGCCGCCGCCGCGCCCGGCGCCGCCGACTGCGCCGCCGCCAGGATGCGGTCCGCGGCGGCGCGCAGGTCTGCATCCGTGACGACGACCTCATCGACGAGGCCGAGGTCGCGCGCCTGCTCGGCGCGCAGTGTCTCGCCCGTCATGAAGAGCCGCCGCGCGCGCGCCGCCCCCACCCTCCCCACCACGTACGGCGAGATGGTCGCCGGGATGACGCCGAGCTTCACCTCGGACAGCGCGACCGATGCCGCGTGCTTGATGACGACGTAGTCGCAGACGCAGAGCAGGCCCACGCCGCCGCCCATGGCGGTGCCATTGGCGAGCGCCACCACGTACACGGGAAGCTCGTCCAGCTCGCGAAGCAGCTTTGCGAACGCGACCGCCGACTCATCGTTCTTGTTCGACTGGTTGTCGGCTCCGTTGCCGCTGCTCTCCTCCGCCGCCGCCGCCGCCATCCGCTGGAAGCCCTTGGGGTCGCCTCCCGCGCAGAACATCGGGCCGTTGCCCGTCAGGAAGACCACGCGCAGGGCGGGCGACGCCTTGATCCGTGCCACGGCTATCTGGAGCCCGAGCGTGAGGCGCTCATCGAGTGCGTTCCTCTCCTGCGGACGGTTGAGCGTGATGACCGCGACGTGCTCGTTGGCCTCGTACCGCAGCTCGGCGGGCAGCTTCATGTCCATCTGTGCCGGTCGCCCCTGACGTCGGGTTGTGCTGAAGGCCTTCGATGCGGCTTTTAGCGGGCAGCGGTGGAGCGAGCAATAGCCGATTTGCGCCGCAGGCGCTCAGCGCCGCAGGCGTTGACAAGCACCCCCTCCCTCCCCCAAAAGCCGCAGGGGGTTCTGCTCAAAGCTCTACACACAAGTCTGGCACTGAAACACAGTCCCATGTGGACGAGAAGACCCACGCAGGCACGTGCAAGGAATGGCGTTGACACCCTGGAATGTGGTGCGCACCCAGACGACTCCCAGACACAGGAGGGCCACAGAACGGAACGTGATACGTTGGTGCGTAATAGATAGGGAGCGTGCCGCCTTCACGACACGTGCCGCAGGCAGCGCCGCTCGGAGGGCCGCCTGTAACGTACAGCTGAGACAGCTGCATGCTGCAAGTGAACGGAGGGCGGGCGGGCAGGCGGGTGGCGGCGGTAACGGGCGGCGGCAGTGGCGGCGGGGGCGGAGTGGCGGCGCCGCGAGCGTGCCAGCGACAGAGCCGGTGGAGCTGGAGAGGCGGAGAGGGAGCGGCGGTGGCAGCGGCGACGCAGGCAGGGCCGGTGGAGCTGGAGAGGCGGAGAGGGAGCGGCGGTGGTTGGTGACGGTGGGCAGGGGGGGGGGGGGGGGATCTGCGTGGTTGCGCGTGGCGGCGGAGTCTGCTGAGTCTGCAGCGGCGGCGGCGAGGCGGAGGGAGGCTGCGGCGACGGCGAGGCGGAGGGAGTCGGCGGCGGAGAGGGGGGTGGCGGGCTCGGCGGCGGCGGCGACGGTGGGTCGTGCCCGAAGTAGCGTCACGCGCCACGAGCCCGTAGACCGACGAGGACTCGCGCAGGAGGATATCTTGAGCTGCCGGTGCGTGCACTCGACGAGCCACGCGAGGTGAGATGCCGCGTGGGAGGGCGAGGTGCCCGCGAGCCCGCTGCTTCGAAGCCTCGGCTGGCGGTAGCGAGCTGCCCCTCACAGCGCGAGGCGGTGCCTTGGCGTCGCGCGTGGAGCGCTGGGGAGAGCACCATTAGAGATCGCACTTGCCACAGGTTTCCATTAGGTGTAGCGTCCGCCGGACAATACGAGCATTAGGGGTCTAATGGGAGCCGCGGACACAACGTAGTGTCCGGCGGACACTTCACCTAATGGCTCCACCTAATGACCACCGCTGCGAGGGGCGAGCCTTCGATGGCTTTTAGCGGGCAGCGGTGGAGCGAGCAATAGCCGATTTGCGCCGCAGGCGCTCAGCGCCGCAGGCGTTGACAAGCACCCCCTCCCTCCCCCAAAAGCCGCAGGGGGTTCTGCTCAAAGCTCTACACACAAGTCTGGCACTGAAACACAGTCCCATGTGGACGAGAAGACCCACGCAGGCACGTGCAAGGAATGGCGTTGACACCCTGGAATGTGGTGCGCACCCAGACGACTCCCAGACACAGGAGGGCCACAGAACGGAACGTGATACGTTGGTGCGTAATAGATAGGGAGCGTGCCGCCTTCACGACACGTGCCGCAGGCAGCGCCGCTCGGAGGGCCGCCTGTAACGTACAGCTGAGACAGCTGCATGCTGCAAGTGAACGGAGGGCGGGCGGGCAGGCGGGTGGCGGCGGTAACGGGCGGCGGCAGTGGCGGCGGGGGCGGAGTGGCGGCGCCGCGAGCGTGCCAGCGACAGAGCCGGTGGAGCTGGAGAGGCGGAGAGGGAGCGGCGGTGGCAGCGGCGACGCAGGCAGGGCCGGTGGAGCTGGAGAGGCGGAGAGGGAGCGGCGGTGGTTGGTGACGGTGGGCAGGGGGGGGGGGGGGGGATCTGCGTGGTTGCGCGTGGCGGCGGAGTCTGCTGAGTCTGCAGCGGCGGCGGCGAGGCGGAGGGAGGCTGCGGCGACGGCGAGGCGGAGGGAGTCGGCGGCGGAGAGGGGGGTGGCGGGCTCGGCGGCGGCGGCGACGGTGGGTCGTGCCCGAAGTAGCGTCACGCGCCACGAGCCCGTAGACCGACGAGGACTCGCGCAGGAGGATATCTTGAGCTGCCGGTGCGTGCACTCGACGAGCCACGCGAGGTGAGATGCCGCGTGGGAGGGCGAGGTGCCCGCGAGCCCGCTGCTTCGAAGCCTCGGCTGGCGGTAGCGAGCTGCCCCTCACAGCGCGAGGCGGTGCCTTGGCGTCGCGCGTGGAGCGCTGGGGAGAGCACCATTAGAGATCGCACTTGCCACAGGTTTCCATTAGGTGTAGCGTCCGCCGGACAATACGAGCATTAGGGGTCTAATGGGAGCCGCGGACACAACGTAGTGTCCGGCGGACACTTCACCTAATGGCTCCACCTACTGGGCTGGGTTTTTAGGCATTGTGGGGTTGGCACTCCCATCGACCCTCATGACCTCCTGCGGTCTCTGAGATGGACACCAGTGGGTGTGGGACCACAGTCAGGATACACTCGAAGGCTGGGTAAGCAGTAGAGGTCGATACTCGACGCGTCCCACATGGTCTGTGTCGCTGTCGGCACGCTGTCGACAGGACGTCGAGCGACACCGGTGGCAGTGCCACCCAGGAGTGGTCGGGCGGTTGCCCGTCATGAGAGAGCCACCATGTGATCCGTATGATGATTCCTGACAACCGCTTCAGTCAACTTTCGTCACAGTTCCCGCTCTGAGAGGAGCTGCGGGTCAGCTCGACAGCTGGAGCTGTGTCGCCGGCGTGCGGCGGCCTGCCTCCAGAGGTGCCTCTAGGTGGACATTTTTTGGTCACCGTGAGAGAACGCGTTCGAATTTTCACTCCGGAACTTCAACTCTGCACGCGCACCGGCCAGGGCTACAATAGTGCCAGTGAGGCGGAGGCGCGAGTCGGAAGGCCGCGACCGTCAAGTGTTTTCGACATTTTCCTACAATCGCTGTGAACCCAGCCACGTAATGACCACCGCTGCGAGGGGCGAGCCTTCGATGGCTTTTAGCGGGCAGCGGTGGAGCGAGCAATAGCCGATTTGCGCCGCAGGCGCTCAGCGCCGCAGGCGTTGACAAGCACCCCCTCCCTCCCCCAAAAGCCGCAGGGGGTTCTGCTCAAAGCTCTACACACAAGTCTGGCACTGAAACACAGTCCCATGTGGACGAGAAGACCCACGCAGGCACGTGCAAGGAATGGCGTTGACACCCTGGAATGTGGTGCGCACCCAGACGACTCCCAGACACAGGAGGGCCACAGAACGGAACGTGATACGTTGGTGCGTAATAGATAGGGAGCGTGCCGCCTTCACGACACGTGCCGCAGGCAGCGCCGCTCGGAGGGCCGCCTGTAACGTACAGCTGAGACAGCTGCATGCTGCAAGTGAACGGAGGGCGGGCGGGCAGGCGGGTGGCGGCGGTAACGGGCGGCGGCAGTGGCGGCGGGGGCGGAGTGGCGGCGCCGCGAGCGTGCCAGCGACAGAGCCGGTGGAGCTGGAGAGGCGGAGAGGGAGCGGCGGTGGCAGCGGCGACGCAGGCAGGGCCGGTGGAGCTGGAGAGGCGGAGAGGGAGCGGCGGTGGTTGGTGACGGTGGGCAGGGGGGGGGGGGGGGATCTGCGTGGTTGCGCGTGGCGGCGGAGTCTGCTGAGTCTGCAGCGGCGGCGGCGAGGCGGAGGGAGGCTGCGGCGACGGCGAGGCGGAGGGAGTCGGCGGCGGAGAGGGGGGTGGCGGGCTCGGCGGCGGCGGCGACGGTGGGTCGTGCCCGAAGTAGCGTCACGCGCCACGAGCCCGTAGACCGACGAGGACTCGCGCAGGAGGATATCTTGAGCTGCCGGTGCGTGCACTCGACGAGCCACGCGAGGTGAGATGCCGCGTGGGAGGGCGAGGTGCCCGCGAGCCCGCTGCTTCGAAGCCTCGGCTGGCGGTAGCGAGCTGCCCCTCACAGCGCGAGGCGGTGCCTTGGCGTCGCGCGTGGAGCGCTGGGGAGAGCACCATTAGAGATCGCACTTGCCACAGGTTTCCATTAGGTGTAGCGTCCGCCGGACAATACGAGCATTAGGAATTCCTAGGGGTCTAATGGGAGCCGGACACAACGTAGTGTCCGGCGGACACTTCACCTAATGGCTCCACCTAATGACCACCGCTGCGAGGGGCGAGCCTTCGATGCCGGGGACTGTTCACACGTGACGTTCACACCTGGGGGACCAGGGTGTATCCGCAACTCGCGCAGCGAGGAAACCGGAGGACCGGCTTGAAGGCTTGGTGTCGGCAGGACAGCCAGCTTGAGGGCGTGGTTTCAAAGAAAGAAAGAAAACATACAACCCAAGGGAGGGATGGGAGGACGGTGCGCCGCCACCACACAGGGATTTTAAGGAGAGGGCTTAAATTGTAAGAATTCTTTCTAGGGAATGGGTCCACCAGCGAATGGGTCCACCAGATTTTTTTGCAAAATAAAAAAACAAACATTTTCATACGAAAAGCGATCCAACGACCATCCATCGAAATCGATTATAAAAACGTGAAAAAGAAATAAACCCTGCTCGCAGTGCCGTCCCGCCCGCCCGAGCACTCCTCGCTGCACAAACAGGAAAATCTCTCCACTGCTGTATTTGGAGCGCCGGCCGACAGTTGCTCGCGACCGCGATGGAGGCGGCGGCCGCAGACCGCCAGCCCGAGATCCCTCCCAGCGCGTGGGCGGCAGCGTCGGCGCTCTCCGAGCTCACCGTCCACGCGGCATGGGCGGCTGCCAACGCACGCACGCTGCAGTGGGGCGCGTCGCACCGCGACGCACAGCGCGCCAAGGAGGTTGCCCTCCAGCTCGAGGCGCTGCTGCCCGAGGGCGCCGCTCCCGCCGTGGTGCAGCTTTCCCTCGCGGCGGCGTGGTACGCGTCAAACACGCGGCGCCTGCTGCTCTTCGACGCGGCGCGCGACCTGCGGAAGCTGGAGGAGGCCGCCGCCGAGCTCGCCAAGGTGATGCCACCGGAGACGGCGAAGAGCGTCAAGGCGCTTGCCACGTCCGCCGCCTGGCACGCGGCCAACGCGCGCTCGATGCTCTGGCTCGACGCGGAGCGAGACCTGACGCGGTTCGAGGAGTGCTGCCGGCAGCTGCCGGCGCTGCTGCAAGGGGTGACCGACGGCGCCGCCGCAGAGACACCCGCCGACGCGTCGAGGGTG